CTTCCTCCCGTGCTCAACATCTCAGTATGGTTTAGGTGTTTGCGGCTGTGAGGCATATGCTGTGGAGGGTTTGGATTCGTGAAGCCTTCGTGCTCCAGCTCCTTTCTGACAGTTCCTCTGGTTCCTTGTCTCAACTGGGTGGGGGCAGGGTTTGCTTTGGTTCTTCCTCTTTGAGTTGGATGCTTCGTGTAGCTCTTCTGCTGGGTTCTCGGGCTTGGCTCTCCATAACGTTTAAGTCAAGGGGTGTCCAATGTCCTCATAGTCAGTCTGTCCCAGTTCCTTCCTGTTTCCATGGAGTGCACCATTGATGCCGCCTCTTTCCTGTGTCTTTGAGAGATGTTTAGATGCCTGGACATGGACCTTCACGTTGACATGGTCTTGGCGCCTTCTCTTATATGCTGGTCTGGTTCTTGGTTGCGAGGGTTTCATGGTGATGCCTTTCGGCTGGTTTGGTCGAGGTGGAGGTTCCTGTACCACTTTCCTCCAGTCCGGCAGTTTCTCCAAGTCCCCGGCCAGGTTGGAGTCCATGCAAAGGTTTTGTTCCTTTGGCCCTGGCATGTGATTTCTTCACCTATAGCCTTCTATTTTTTATTCCTGGTAAAAGGTAAGATGGTTGGCTTCCAGATGGGTTCTTTAATTGTTGATTATTGGTTGGTTTGTCCAGCTTAGGATGAATCATCTATTGTATCCAGTTACAAATGTCATCCTACTTATGAGCTACTGATACTGCTTTAGTAGATATATTGTTGATCCAGTTTTCTTGGTCCTCTGTTCGAAGGCTTGTTTGTCTCTGGTTGTCTGCACTGTCATTAAATCTATCCAGTCTTCGGTCTACCCTTGGGCCTATGGTGTTCACATGTTTGCTGTTTTGACTACTTTGAATCCAACATGTTGTGGGCTGATATTTGGGCTCAAGTTTTGGAGGTCTATCGGTGTCTGAGCAGCTTGTTTCCTGGTCTGTGTTCCTGGTATCCATTAGTCTTTTGTTTCCTTGGGTTGTGTTTCTTGTCCTAGGTTCTCATTCTTGAGTATTTAGTCTTCACTCTCCTCTTTCCTGGTAAATTTCATTTTTTCTTTGGTTCTGGCAATGCTTGATTATCCAAATCAGATAGGTCCACCTCAATTCAAGTTGCCCAAACATTTCACACAGTCAAATTTGTTTCTATGAATGCAAAATAATTAACAGCTATTTTCTCAGGTCCAATCGCCTGTAGTTTATGTAAAATGGATAAACATAACGTGTTTCCGGCCCCGACCACGGTGGTCTCCCGGTTTGGAGTCCCTTCTTTTACCGACCTCGAGGTAAACTCCGTAGCTGGATCCCCTAGGGCAGTTCGTTGTTGCCTTCAACCTCGTTCTGACAGTTCTTACAATGGCGCTGGAACCAATCGAATTGGTGTTTGCCTTTCCATTGGAGACTTTTGGCACTGTGGAGAGGGAGGGGGGGGGGGATCTGCTACATAGGTAACAGCTTCTGCGTATCAACCTACCCTGGCTTTGCACCTTGGAGAGGCACTTCAGACCAACAACCAGATTGCAATGCCATAGTCGCCTGAGACTGATGCCCACTACTACTACTTAACAACAGCATGTCGATTGTTGCTGCTACCAGCAGGCAACAATCAAATAATGGCAAATTATTATCTTGGCAAATAATGATTCAAGTTTCTATTAAAACAAAGTTAGGAAGAAAATCTTACAGTAATAAAGTGGCACAAGGGAGAACACCCAAAAGAGATTACTGTACTTGGTTGAGCAGGTTGAGGGAGTCTGGATATCAGACTGATACTGTTTGATTATGAATACCTGACTGACAGTGACTGCCTAAATTAATTAGGATTACTGGAATTCAAATTACCGAGCTCTTACAATAGTCTATGGCTACAGGGAGCCACCATTCAGCCTCTCCATAAGCCAGATTCTGGTTTTGGCCTCTAGTAGGCAGTATGGTCTCCTAGGACTGATGTCACACTTGTTTATAGCATCCTTGGTGAGCTAGCTAGAAGGAGCCACCGAGGCCCAACTGGAAAGAGGCATTTCATTACATCCAACACTTATTATTTTTTTTTTTAATAGGCCAAATGGTGGCTCCCTGTAGCCAACTAATCATAGATGATTGTAAGAGCTTGGTAACCTGAATTTAACCCAAATCTATTTCAACTGCTAGATGTGCCTCGTGATATTTGAAAGTACTGTACTGTACAAAATATTCTACGTGGATGCCATTCAACACTAGAAACCTATGGCAATCGTTTGTCGTGAAAAAATCGCGAATGTTTTAGTTTCCTTCCAGGGCCTTAGTTAAAGATGGGCACCATGTCAGGGCATTGTTATCTACTGACAGACAACCATCCTAGGAACCACTGCTGCTCTACAAAATTTTGAGGACTTTTATAGACCTCAAAGATATTTGTGATTGGAAGAAATCACAAATAGTTATTTTCAAGTTAACCAATAGTTAACTTGAAAATTATCACTCGGAATTTGAGCTAAATTGAGCCACTCGATACCGCATGTGACGTATAAGAACAGTGCCACGAACAAAGTTCATCGATTGGAGAAATAGAAAATCTTACATGAACAAGTGTGATGCTGAGTTACTTACCGTGTGGGTTTCATCCCAGTAAGCCCCCAACTTGGAGAGAAAACAAAAATTAAACGCATTGGTTTCTGTAATGAATGACCTAATGAATTCTTTAGGGTTGAAGCTGTATGTATATTTTCATCAATTAGAAACTGAACTAATATCTTTAAATATTTGATAATTTTGATCATCAGCACAATGGTTCATAAACTGTACTGTATGGCGCGTTCCAGTGGGGATTTTGTACAAGTTAATGAAGAGATTGTGTCGCTTGTTTTCTATCATTTCATTCACTTCATCTGAATAAATTACAGGGTAATTCTTTGACTCTTTCTTTGAGGTTATTAATCCTCAAAATGCAGCTATTGGTCATACATGCCCATGCACACACAAAATAAAAACCTTAAAAATTATAGTTTGCCACAAAATTATTATTTTGTATGGCAACTGTAAGAAAAAATAAAAAAATTGTAAATATGCAACTTGTTATTGGTTGCATGAGGTAATTACCCAAGTGTAATTACCTAACTGTAGTTACAGGATGAGAGCTACGCTCGTGGTGTCCCGTCTTCCCAGCACACTTTTGTTATATAACATTGCTTTCCGACCGCCCCTCGCGGTCACCTGTCCCTCAATAGAATTCTTGGTGACTCCGATACTTTTGATATCGTTCGCCTTGTGCGTTTTTGTTCTCGTATTGGCATCCTTGGTGACATTTAGCGCCCTCTGATTATTCCGCACATTTGATGGTGCTACATAGCCTTCTCGGTTTGGTGCCTTCTTTTGGTATTTACTTACTTACTTGTTATATAACAACAAAGTGTGCAATATAGATGTGCAAGGTGGCATGTAGGCAGTGTGGGGCCAGCACCTATTGATGTTGTAAACAATATACAGTAGTATGGGGGAGAACTCCAGTGTTCTCCCATACATGTTTCTTTGGCCATTTATCACTTGTTTTCCTGTATTTACTATAGTGTGTGTGTGTTGAATAACGGGATTTATGAGCATATCATTCATAACGAACATATAATACATAATTAAGTACATTACTGTACTATCAATTAAGATGATGATTCGATGCCTAAAAGGTATATACTGTTCAGTACTGTGAAAGTGTGTGTGTATACATATGTAATATATATTTGTATGTATGTAAAAATATTTACAATGTTTCAATACTATTGTTATACTTCAGTAGTTTTTCGACATGTGTATACTGTACTGTACTTCATTACAACTATATACAGTATGCATGTGCAAGTTGAGCGTGTGTGGCAACCCATGACGCCTGCCTCGTCTGTCCTCGTGAAAGTACATGCCGCCTCATTCTCTGTATACTGTATTGACCTTGCATGTCTGGGAAATTGATCATATGTCAAATAGGAACTATAGAGATATAAATAGGTCTATATGAGGCTGCTCCCATTTAAATCAATATAAACAGGAGCTGCCTCCTATGTGCCAATTAGCCTTCTGTAGTTTCTTTATCATTTTGTTAAAATGATGAGTGGTTGACCTGATATACTTCATTTATAACCATATGGTGTTGTGAAAACAATATGAACATAAGTGTTATACATATCATGTATTATAATGGAATTTTGTACAATGATTACTGCATTCGCATAGTAATGTTCATCATGATAGTTCATTTACATAGTAAGGTAATTATGAAGCAATAGCTGGATCTGTTCATGCATCAAGGTGTAAACTGTTACTGCCACATAGAGCTCTTATTCATATTATCACCTCGTGTGTAAAATCCAGATAATAGTTTAAAACAGCATACAATGATGACTGCATTACTTCGTGACTCAACATACGACAATAACTGCTTTCTAAGGGTTAAGAACACCAAAGTATTCTTAAGTGGGACTTAAACTTACTCGCCATTGACTGTCACTGAGAAGAGAGATCACCTCTAATAACTGAACCATACTTGTTTCCAAAAGTGCTGGACATCCTTGAGCTGGGGTTATTTGGCTTAATTGTTTATGCTTTGGGTTTTTTCTTTTTAGGGAAAGTTGAACCCTCCCCCCCCCCCTCCCCTTCCCTAACATTTAGGACATTTTTGTCATGGGACTAGACACTCGTGACCTCTTAGACCTAAGGAGTCTGTTCATATATCATTTGTAACAATTAAGTTTAAAAGTGTCATTCCCTTGTAGCCTGTCTCAAAAGTGGAGTTCAGTTCAACCTCAAAAATCATTTACAAATGATGTTGGCAGGTGGTCCAAAATATCACAGCCCAGGGGTCGCATTAGACTGCTGTATTGTATTTAAGCCCTTAACTTAATTAGTTATGGTTCAATAATTCATAATTATTGACAATAGTACTAGTATACATAATACAGTATTATTGACAGCTGGAATTTATAGATTTAAATTTAATTTCTTTTGTCTATCCACATAGGGTCGTCCTGCAGCTAAGGAGGGCGGACCCCAGCAAATGCCTGATACTCCGAATTCAGTCATTTCAACTAATACAAAAGAAGTCACAAGCGAAGAGGCTCCAGCCACCTCGACTACTCCGGCCGTGATGAGACCCCCAGGAACAGAATGCTGGGTGCACGAAGCTTGTTTACTTTGGGCCCCAGGGGTTCACGTTAATAATAGCAAGCTTTGTGGATTGGAAGAGGCAGTTATCCATGCTCAGGACAGTGTGAGTAGAAAACTCTGACCTGGCATTTCCCAATGGTGGTTACATGGTGTTAATCCAACTCTAATAGTACAACGTTCATGTGTAATTACCTAAGTGCAGTTACAGGATGAAAGCTACACTCTTGGTGTCCCCTCTTCACTATACTTTTTGTCCTATTACTTTGAAACCATTTGCCGGATTTGACCACAACTTTCTCACCTGACTACTTCCAACCATCTGCCACTCTAACTGCAAAAGAAAACTTTCTAATAGTTTTTTGGCACCTTTGTTTCCTAGCTTGAATCTATAACCACTTGTTCTTGAGGAGGACAGTTTCAGGAATTCCTGTCAATTTGGTAAATTCCTGTTATTATTATTTGGTAACTCGTGATCATATCGCATCTTCTGTTTCTATCTTCTACCTTTGGCATATTTTAACACCACTAGTCTCTTTTCATAGCTCTTGGTTTTCAGATCTGGAAGCTATTGTGTAGCATGTTGTTGATGTGCTTCATGAAATATGGGCACCATACAACTGCTGCATATTCCAATTTTGGTCTCAAAAAAAGTCATGAACAGTTTTTGTATTTCGCCATCCCTTTAATAAAGAGATTCTGAAGTTGGAAAGCGACACACATGCTCCTCTCACAATGATCTTTGTGTTAATCTGGTGACAGTCTACTATTGAAAACCAGCCCTAGATCTCTTTCTTTGTTAATTATTTAATGACTTTCCACAAAATTTGTAAGTTGTGTGTGATTATTATCTTAAATTCCACATTCCATAACAACATTTTTATGGAACATTCCATAACATTGCCACATGGCACTCCAAGCACTTATTTTATCTAGATTAATTTGAAGGGCATAACAACCATCTAGGTCTCCTATCTTCCCTAGTAGCTTAGTATCATCAGCAAACATGTTCATATTATTGTGTATTCCTGCTGGTAGATTGTTCATGTAGACGATGAACATTACTGGTTTAAGAACTGAACCCTGTGATACTCTGTTAGTAACACTCCTCCAGTCAGATATATTATTGCCTCTAATTACCCCCTCATCTGTCTGTCAGTTAGACAATTTTTCAACCATGTCAGAAGTCTTCCTGTCATCATTCCAGCATGTTAAAGTTTCCAAAACAGCCTCTTGTGTGGGACTCTATCAAAAGCATTTTTTAGGTCCAGATAGACACAGTCAACCCAACTACCTCTTTCCTGTAGTATCTCTGCGGCTCTTATCATAAGAGATAAGTAGATTTGTTACACAGGATCTTCTTGTTTGAAAACCATACTGTCTGTCCATTATCATGTCATTACTCTCTAGGTGTTCAACCCATTTGGCTTTACCTATTTTTTCTAGTGTTTTGACTTAGGAGAATTAATGAGCATTAAATATGAAACTAGCACCGCCATGCAGGTGGTGACCAATGACCAGGGAGAAGCCGACCGCTCAACACCAGGGTGCCACCACCCATGGTATATACTGAAACATGCAGCTAAGTAGTGTTTGAGATATAAAAAACAAAAAAAAAAATACAGGTAAACAGGTCTTACATACGAAATGTAGTAATACAGTACCACACAAGTGCAACATTAAATAACAAGTAATGTATTCTTCCCATTCACACACTAACCACACTAGTGTGTGAAGTGTGTGCCTGTAGCACACTAACAGGCAACCAAATTTGAACATTACATATGTTTTGAGATATAATCTAGATGAAAATGGGGACATTGAAACAGTTGTCAAACTCGATTTCTGGAGAGGACACTGTGGGGACCTTAGACAATTTTTAAATGAGTATAATTAGACTTGTTGCTAGGCAAGGAAGTAAACAAGATGTATGCCAAATTTTGCAAAATATACGATGAAGGTTACTGGGTAGGGTACTGTGGGTACCCAGGGTACTGTGGGTACCCAGGGTACTGTGGGTACCCAGGGTACTGTGGGTACCCAGGGTACTGTGGGTACCCAGGGTACTGTGCTTGTGCTTGCTCCAGTATTTTTTCTCATCCTCATATCGGATATAGACAAGGACACAATCTATAGCACTGTATCGTCCTTTGCAGATGACACTAGGATTTTTATGAAAGACAACATAGAGAGCACAGCATACCTCCAATCAGATGTAAATCAGGTCTTTCAATGGGCTACAGAGAATAATATGGTATTTAACCCCCAAGCTGCAAAGGGCTATTTGACCTTTGTCACCCACAGGCACATAAAAAAAATATATTTTTTTTCTTCTTTTAACCTGTTAATTTGTGTTCCCTGATCACGGGAAAAATAATAAAAAAATCGTAAGTGGCATATTTTGGCCGCAATAGGGTGGGGAAGTCTGGCAAAAAATAGGTGCCGACTCAGCAAGCGTCGGAGGAGTTCTGCTCCGCCCCAGCTGTCAGGCGGGAATTGCCACAAAGACATAATTACCTAATTATTTCAATGTCTCTGATTTTTCTTTAGTTTTTTGCAGTAATATTATTCAATAGTGTGTAGTTTGATATATTTATACAGAGCACCACTTGGTTTCCAAACTTTAGTTATCCGAAACTTCCAGTTTCCTGATTGGGGGTTGGGGAGTCATGCTACATGAACAAAGTTTTCATTCTGTGATTTTGTTTTACATATCTGCACAATCAAGAAACATCTGTGCACCATGTCGGCTCCTTGAAGGGTATGACAATCATCTGAGTTTCTTATCCTTCCTATTATCTTGGCATCATCAGCAAACATGTTCATATAATTCTGTATACCAACTGGTAGATCATTTATGTAGACAATAAACATCACTGGTGCAAGAACTGAACCCTGTGGTACTCCACTTGTGACATTTCTCCAGTCCGATACATTGCCTCTGATCACTACCCTCATTTTTCTATTGGTCAGAAAATTTTTCATCCATGTTAGAAGCTTACCTGTCGCCCCTCCAATATTTTCCAGTTTCCAGAACAACCTCTTATGTGGAACTCTGTCAAAAGCCTATTTTAGGTCCAGATAGATGCAGTCAACCCAGCCATCTCTTTCCTGTAAAATCTCTGTGGCTCGATCATTGAAACTGAGTAAATTCGATACACAGGATCTTCCTGATCGAAAACCATACTGTCTGTGTGATATTATATCATTTCTCTCCAGGTACTCTACCCATTTATTTTTTATTATTTTTTCCAATATTTTGACTATTACATTTGTCAATGATACAAGTCTATAATTGGGGGGGGGGTCTTAACTGCTGCCACTTTTGTTGATTGGAACTATGTTTGCCTTTTTCCACACATCTGCTACGACTCCTGTACACAGGGATGTCTGAAAAATCAGCTGAAGTGGAATGCTGAGCTCGGGTGCACATTCTCTCAGAACCCATGGTGAAACTCTATCTTGGCCAACTGTTTTGTTCTTGCTTAGCTCCAGAGGCATTTGTTTCACTTCGTCTCTAGACACTTTTTTTTTGTATTATTATTATTTTTAATACATGAGGTACACCTGCATTTGTGCAGCTACCCTAGACTATATGAAGTGGATTACAGTGTGTCAAAAAGCTAACTAGGTGATGCTAAAAAATCCCCATCACACAGGATGGTTAGTCATACAGAGGCATGTGATAGGCAGTCTGCACTGGCAGACTTTGAACATATACAGACTTTTGAACATATACGGCATGCATAGACGAGATAAAACACCTAAATTTTTGGGATCCTCTCAAACTTCCCCAAATGTACTCTCTAGAAAGGAGACGAGAGAGATACCAAATAATATACACATGGAAAATACTGGAGGGCCAGGTCCCAAATCTACACAGTAAAATAACAACGTACTAGAGTGAACGATATGGAAGAAAATGCAAGATTGAACCAGTGAAAAGCAGAGGTGCCATAGGCACAATCAGAGAACACTGTATAAACATCAGAGGTCCGCAGTTGTTCAACGTCTTCCCAGCGACTATAAGAAATATTGCCGGAACAATATTGCCGGCGGGGATCGTATTCCAGGGACCTGCCCGAAACGCTACGCGTACTAGTGGCTGTACAAGAATGTAACAACTCTTGTATATATCTCAAAAAAAAAAAAAAAAAAAACTGTGGACATCTTCAAGAGAAAACTGGTCTGTTTTCCAAGAGAAGTTCCGGATCAGCCGGGCTGTGGTGGGTATGTGGGCCTGCGGGCCGCTCCAAGCAACAGCCTGGTGGACCAAACTCTCACAAGTTGAGCCTGGCCTCGGGCCGGGCTTGGGGAGTAGAAGAACTCCCAGAACCCCATCAAGCAGGTATCAAGCAGACTCCAGATGCATTTTGATGATATCAACACAAGAGTGAATAAGGTAGCAGTGGTAATAAAAGTCCCCATCTCGCAGAATGGTTGTCATACAGGGCCATATGTTTAGTAGCCTGCACTGGCAAATTTTGGGTACACTGTGAGGATATCTTCAAGAATAACCTCAAGATAACCTCAAGAATACGAGAGTGAATAAAGTAATTGCAAAGCTCCAGGTACTTCATGCCAACTGGTCTGAAAGGTCTAATAACTGGGCATTTGGTGATGTAGTGTGGGAGATCATGCCGCAGTTCCTGCTCACAGAGTTTGCATCTGGAGTGCTCAGGATTGGGAGATCCGTCACCTGTAGCCACCTGCCACAGGTAACGGTAACCCAACCCGATCCTTGCAACCACTGTGTCGCACAGTCTGGTGGACGTTTTGTGCTGCCCATAAATATAGGTTTCAGATCTGAACAAATCATAGCTATTTATACTAGTACTTTCAGGTCGTTGGGAGTCAATAATTTCTTTCCTATCAGACCTGAGTGTTTGGACCAATAGAGTTTTGACAGCAGAGATGGGGATACCTAGATCTAATTCAACTTCATCTTTGTTGCATGCTAATTTGGCTGCAATGTCTGTCTCCTTATGATGGGTTATATTTAGACACCTCTATGTGCTCTTTGCTATTTTCTGGAATTCTTATTGTCTGTTTCTCTGAAGATCTCATTTTGTACAAAGACACTTTGGAACTTTTTGTTTAATGTTT